AAAAACGATCGACTAAATCTAAGCGGCATACGAGATAGGAGATGTTACAAAAGAGAGATGTCAAGCTGGTATCCCACACATCAATGTCGCAATTCCGTTGGCTGGCCATATCGAAAGACAAACACGAACTCCGAACTCTGATAGGAATCCGTAGCGTAATGATCCACCAAAAACCATCGGCCATTACCCATTCCAATCCCTCACACTGAAACTCAAACCAGAACAAGCAACCCAAGCCTCGCTAAGTAAAGGTGAAGGAGAAGAATAAGAAGAATAAGAAGAGAAAAGATAAGCCACGCACTAATAAAGCCAAGATATCCCCAGGAAAAAAAAAGTATGTTTAAACCCTCGAACATCCCTCTCCCTCTCCCTCTCCCTCTCAACCCCCAACCAATCCATCACTCATCACCCACCACCACCACCAAGTACCGCCCACCTAACCCCCCACTCCCACAACCACGGCGCGCCATCCCACCGCCCAGCTACACCACCAGCACCACCAGTCCCACGCATCACCCACCCCCGCAACAACACCCTCTCCACCACCACCGCCCACCCCTGCACCACCGCCACCACCCCTTCCCGCACCGACGGCGCCCGCAGCAGCACCAGCTGCGCCAGCGGCACCGCCACGTAGGCCCGCAGCGTGCGCGGGAGCGAGTACCACCCGGTTAGGTTGGTGAAGGTTGGGATCTCGTCGTCGACGACGACGTGCTCGTCGACGAGGACGGGGGCGGAGGTGGGAGCGGCGATGGCGGTGCGGTCGTGCTGCTCGGCGCTGGGGAGTGGTGCGGGCTGCGCCGCGCGCTTGTCGAGCTCGATGCTGGCGCTGAGGCCGACGCCGCTGTCGACGCTTTGGCTTCGGGGTCGGGTTCGGCTGCTGCTTCTGCTCCTGCTCCTGCTCCTGCTCCTGCTCCTGCTCCTGCTCCTGCTGTGTGGTCGTGTGGACCAGCCGAGCGGGGGAGGGGGAGGCGTGGACGGGCGTTGTGCCGGCGGCGTCGATGGCCGCGGCGGGGGTAGAGCTGTGGCGGCGGCGGCGGCGGCGGCGTCGCGCTTCGGCTTCGACGACGGGCTGTTGTAGTGGTTGTCTGCGGAGCGCGAGCGGCGCGAGTCGGGGCTGCCGGGCGGGGTGGGCGGGAGGGTGGAGGCGACGAAGCGGGTTACGAGGGGGTTGAGGATGGGGCTGGTGGGTGGGGTGTGGAGGAGGTTTGTGGGGGGCGGTGGGGAGGCGACGGTGGAATCGTCGATGGGGGGATGCTTGGGGGTTGGAGGGTGTGGCGGCGGGGGCGGCGGCCGCGTGGCCATCGATGCGGTTGAGGCGATGAGCGAGGCCAGGGCGGTGGAGAAGGGAGGGGCGAAGAGGGGGGGCAGGGACCATAGACAGCGGATAGGGTGGATGCTCGTGGCTGTCCCTGTTGGTGTGGACGAGGTGCGGACGGTGATGTCGATGGCGAGGGGTGCGGAGGGGCGGCCTGGTAGGGCAGCGACAAAGGCAACGACGAAGGTGCGGATGGAGGCGTACAGAGGCGAGGAAGGGTCGAGGAGGAGGCGTCCGGCCGTCTCGTCGGCGTCGTCGGCTGCTTTCGACACTGCGAAGGCTCGCACCGTGCCGTGCAGGACGACGGCGTGGGCCCGGTACGCCGTCTCTCCTCCCTCAAACCGATCAGCCACCACCGCCAACACCTCGCGCATCACCCACGGCCGCGCGTCCGAGACGTCGAGGCGCGCAACGCACTCGTACGTCTCATTCAAGCAGTCGTCGTGGTCGTCGCCCACCGGCAACTCCACCCTCTGCACCTCCCCATCATCACCATCCGACTCCAACACCCACCTCGCCCCCCTCCGCCTCCCCGCATGCACCACCCCATGCACCTCCCCCCTCCTCCTCACCACCACCTCCTCCCCCAACTCCATCCGCTCCCCACCCCGCAAAACCTCCACCCCACCCCCCAACCCCTCAACCAACGCCCTAAACGCCGCGCCATCCCCCTCCAACACCGCCCCCTCCGGCGCCAACACCCCGCACCTCACCCTCGGCCTCCCCCTCTCAGCCTCCCTCCTCAGCGTCTCCCTCAGCATCCCCACGGCCTCGCGAAGCGGCGCCGCGTCATCGCCATCGCCGTCGTCCTCGTCGCCACCGTCCTCCGCCGCGCCGACGTCAAACAGCTCGCACGGCACCCACACGCTCGGCCTGACGCGCAGGATGGCGCCGAGGACCTCGTGCTCGTAGGTGTCGCGCGAGCTGGCCACCTCGTCGGAGTCGCCATCGCCGTCATCCTCGTCGGTCTTCGCCGAACCACGACGGCCGCGGCGGAGCTGCTGCTGCTGCTGCCGCCGCTGCTGCCGCTGCGCGGAAAAGACGTTGAGACGATGGGACGAGGCGACGGCGGCGGAGAAGCTGGTGGATGGAGGCAGGAGGGAGGCAGGGTGCAGGAGGAGGGACAGCGGGAAGCGGGAGGAGAGGGGGGGAGGGGGAGGCGAGGTGTAGGCGACGGCGACGGTGTGGCCGGCGGCGTGGAGGGAGCGGGCGAGGGAGATGGCCGGGGCGGGGGCGCCGTTGGTGGTGGTGAGGAGGACGGTGGTGGGGGTGGTGCGTTTTGCGGTTGGTGGCTGGCGTCGATCAGTGCGGCGCCGGCGGAGGGAGGAGAGGCGGAGCAGGAGGAGGAGGGATAGCGTGAGCGGGAGGGCGAGGAGCAGCGCGATGCGCGTGGCTGGGGTGGAGAGGCGGGTCAGCGGAAGGCCGCCCGGGGGCAGGCGCCGTGCGGTGGCGGTGGCGGCGCGGCTGTGGTGGGTTATCAGGGCGGTTGCGGCCGAGCGCACGGCGTCGATCAGGTCCATTATGTGCAGCGCAGCCGTCAGGCTGGGGATGTTGAAAAGGGAAAAGGAGAAGAGCGCCATGAGAGCAAGCTCAGCCAGCAGGACTGGCGTGGAGCGAGAGATACGACGAAGTGAGCATGAGACACGCCACGTGCAGAAGAGAAAAAAAGCAAAGAAAAACCAAGGACACATGAAAACGACGGAAGAGCTAGGCACGCCGTGCAACTCTGCCGCCGCGGCTTGCCCTTTTTCACTCTTTTCCACGCCTCCAGCTGAGGTAGCACGACATACGTGTAGCCCGTAGAGGGGTCGCTGCAGGCCGCGCCATATGACCTCATCCCGCATCCCCCGCAAACCAACCACAGCCTCCCGCGATACCTCGCGCCGCCAGATTGGCCGCGCCAGCACCGCCACGGCGGCCCGTCACAAACCGCCATCAGTCAATCCAGCGAAGAGAGAGCTACATGCACACCGGATGCCACGCTGGCGCCCGCGCGCCTCACCATCATCCAGCGCCGGGGTCTCCTCCCCGGCCCCCCTCCGACCTACCTAACTCAACCACCTGTCCGCCACCCACCCCAGCGCGTCCCTCAGCCAGCCATCCTCGTCCGCGCTCGCCTTGGCCTCGAACCCGTGCTCGCCCGGCCGCAGCACCAACTTGACGGAGCCACCCATCACGTCGCGATCATCTGCACCACCGCCACCGCACCCGATCATCCCCACCCCCCGGTGGACGACGTCGTCACCGCACTGCCACGTTGTCGTTGTCGTTGTCGTTGTCGTCGCCGTCGATGTCGATGTCGCCATCGCCGTCGCCGTCGCCGCCTTCTCCCACGCCCGCACGAACCGCTTGCTCCCCTGCACCGGCACCACCGTGTCGTCCGTGCCGTGGATGATGCATAGCGGCGGGAGACGTGCTGCCACCGCCGTCGCCGCCGTCACCGTTGCCATTGCGGCGCCTACCGTGGGAGCAGTAGCAGTAGCAGTAGCAGTAGCAGTAGCAGTAGCAGCGGTAGCAGTATTAGCAGAAGCAGCAGGACCGCCGCACGATCCCCGCCCCCACGCGTGCGTCATCGTCGTCGTCGTCGTCGTCGTCGTCGTCGTCGTCGTCGTGATGATGTCCTCGAGCACTTCCAGCGGATACAGCTCGCGCTCGTCGCCGAGCAGCTCGCCCAGCCGCCCGTGCTGGAAGAGGGCGAGGGAGAGGTCGGCGCGCGCGGGCGGCGTGACGCTGCTGATGACGGCGGCGGCGGCGCGGCGGTGCGAGCGCGCGGCGCGGACGTGCTCGTCGATGATGTGCGGGGAGAGGAGGGTGGTGTGGCCGGCGATGTTGGGTGTTGGGGCGCGGGGGGAGGGTGCGGCCACGGCTGCGGCGGAGGGGTGGGGCTGGGGCTGGGTGGGTTGAGGAGGATGAAGGGGCGCTTTGGAACAGCTGGTGGTGGTGTTGTTGCGGCCGCCGCGGGTGAAGTGCTCGTCGCCGAGGTCGAGCATGGGAAAGATGCCCAGGACGGCTTTGATGCGGCTGGGATGCATGAGTGCGGATTGGATGGCCAGCCAGCCCCCCGCGCTCTCGCCGGTGACCATGACTTTAGTGAGGTCTACGCCGTAGGGCGTATTGAGCGGGTCTCGTGACAGCACGTAGTTGTGGAGGCAATTGAACAGCCATGACCAGAGGGATGAGATGTCTGCGAGGATATCCAAACCACATGCTTCTGGCAGCAGGCGATAGTCAGGGGAGATTATGATGGCTGAATGGGCGATGGCGTATGTCAGGAGGTACTGCGGAAACCAGGGAGCATAGAGACGCGTGCCAGTAACCTGTAGACGTGTGATGAGATGGCTGGTTCGACTAGGGCAGCGCTCGAATATTTATGCAGTGCCGTGCAGTTCTTTTGGTATAGCAGTCGGAATAAGATGCTGGGAAGGGGCACCCACCAAACCGCCTCCGTGGAACCGGACAATGATCGGCCGGGGACCCTTGCAAGCGCTCGCTGGCACCAGCACCGACGTCTGCACGGGATGACCGTCCACAACTTTGTAGGCAACGTCCAAGATGCGGAACCCCTTGAAGTGTGCATCAGTCGAAGGGAGGGTGGCCAGAAGCATTGCTGGGCCAGGCCTGCATGCAGGAGTGGAGTTGTATGTACATCAATTTGCGGCATTCGAGGCTGGGCAATCGCAATCGCTTTTAAAGGCGTTTTTCTCTGCCCCCGCCGCTTCCGCGGGCCGCGTGTGACCGAGTCATTTTCCTGGTCGCCCATCCTCCAGTCCCCTGCAGAAGCGCACCGTTTGCTATCTATCCCCTTGTTTCCGATGCCGTCCTGTGCAGCCCATCACATACGGGCTTGCCGTCTTGGAGCCACATTTGCCAAAAGGGGAAAACCCCCTCCAGGATGTTGAATCAATTCCGTGTGATCGATCCCTGTACAAATCATCTTCAACCCCGCCCCATTGTGCGCGTATTCTGGAAATAGTATCGCAACCCCCAGCCGCAGGACATCCTGCCCCCGCAATGCCGTGAAACAAACATACATTTGTAGTCGCCGACAAACATCTGCTGATTAGTCACTTCTCACCTCCCGATAGTTTCTCCCCGCCCTTTCCGTATCGCCATGCGTCGAACCGGTCGCCGTGAAGCACCCGGCGGAGGTGGACCTGCATCTGGCAACCGGTCTCCGGCAGCCGCTTTTTTTGCGTCGTGGATACGCTGGCACAGGCGGTCGACAGCGCTGTCGTCTCTGTGTTGGGGCGGCCGCCGGCCTCGATGCAGTGCTTGGCAGCTTTGAGGCTGACTAAGGGATGAGAAGGATTTAGCGGTGGATGGGGGCAGTAGCAGGGACAAGGGCGGGAGCGAGAGCGGACATGGTGGTATTTGTGGTGATCTCAGTATGGAGCTGATGAGGGCGGGTTATCATGATCTTGTGCGGGGCTTTAGATTGTGGATTGGTGTCAAACAGGAGGCGCAAGCGTTATTAAAATGTCAGTGAGTGTCACTCAGCATCAGCCTGAGATATTTCTGCTGTCAGCTGGTAGATTCAACTGCCTACATGGGTAGTGGAGTCCAACATCTGGATGAATTTGTCCGTATTCAAGCCCCAACCCTACATCCGGACCTTGGATTCTACTACATACGTAATGGTCGAAAACAAAAAAGCTAAGAAAGAAAACCCCTTTGATGACAGACTGAACCTTCTAACCCGGGAATTCTTTTGGTCGTTGAATGTTCCAGGGCAAGAAAGACGATGTAGGTAGCTCCGTAGGTTCGGGGCTCGAGACGCAGTAGCGTAGTCCCTTGGAAAGTCTGCATGTTGCCGGATCTGTGGAGTTATAAACCAATGATGGATTCCAACTGATGAAAGTCTGTAGATCCAAGTCGTGCACCATTGCCACTTCGAAGCAGCTGTTGGTGTCAAAGTTCAAGGGAGAAGTGTTGATATCCACGTAGGAGTCGTAATTTGCGCATCGCGACGGCGTCCCGGGGGCCACGGGTAGCGTAGTTTGCTTAGCTGTTCCATTTCCCACCATTCCCGAAAGAAAGGTGGTAGTCGGATAGCTGTTGTTGAAGCAATCCGATCGTACAGAGGTAGCCCCTACGCATGAACCCAATGCCGTGATATTGTTGTAGCCAGGATAGTCGCTGATATCCCCGAGCGGCTTCACGCAGTAGCTGTAGCTCGCCATGAGGTTATGACAATCAGTGTAGTCGACTTCCGGATTCAGAAAGTAGAAGTCAGGAAGTGGAATCGCGAACTTGATGGACACAAGAGCACAAGTGTCATTCGTCAAAACTTCGTACCACTGTGAGCAGGCCACATTGCTCCCGTGGACGGCATTGGTCGGAATGGGCGCCGGAGCAGATGCACTACTCGATCCGATGATGGTAGAGCAGTTGTACCCCGGCCATACTTGGTCGGCAACGCTGCACAGAGGTGTAGGGGTGGGGCCGGACATGGTCGCGCTGATAAACTGGAGGCTTGCCGTCCTGGAAGGCAAAGTTGGAACCGCGGAGTAATCATTGGATCTGCAGCTGTATCAATTGCATCAGACAATGTGCTTGGCCCATTCATCTTGCGTCAACTGTCGTGACTTACTACTCGGCCATAAGATCGAACCTTTGGGCAAGCTCATCATCATACCCAAATGGTGAGCTAAGGTGCATTTCAATGGTACCCAGAACACAGTCAGAGCAAGTGTCGATTGATGTTGGTGCTTGATCGGCTCCCCATTTGCCGACCAGCGGGGCACAAAATTCATGCGTATTCCTGACTCTTCGGTCAGAAGGGACTGGAGGGAACATCAACGATAGCTCTGTGATCTTACGTGTCTCTCCGGCATGTGTAGTTGTACGTGAAGATGAGAAAGTCAATGTTCAATGCTCCACCCTCTGCCCCGTCGATGAAGGTTGCATCCTGGCACTCCCTGGCTTGGTTAGATTTGAAGTCACTGAGTGATGCCAGGCATTCGCTTGTGCAGATAGCGGACAGCTCATCTGTGTTGGGAAGATGGCCTGAAGGTACCTCAAGCAAAGTGGGAAAACAATTGACGGTACGATTGAACGTGGCACTGTTGATGACAATAATAATATGAAGCAGGAATCTGTTATAGGTGCCAAGCTGCTTACCTGCAAGCTGCTGACAGGTTTTCTGGGGGTTCCACGCGGGGTCCGTAAGGAAGCGGGCTTGCGCTCGGCCCGACAAATATCTGTGCAAATACCTGTAGCGGCTTTGGATGGTAAGCGACGAGCTTGAAAGGTTCCAAGTCCTTGAGTATAAAGGAAAGTTCCAAAGTCTTTGTGAGGGCTATAACAGATGCGAATGACGCAGAACAAAACGAAACACACTAAGCTTACCAACGCTACAAAAAAGAATTGCGACCATTTGAAAAGCATGTTGAGGGTCTTGGGCAGAGGTTCTTGATACCTTGAGGCTGGGCGTGTTGACTCGGGATGAGAAAGACCAGGGGAGGTATCGGAGACGGTATCGGGTTTTCAGCATGGCAAGAAAGGAGAAATATTGGATAAAATTATGGTGGATGGGCTGGGATCGTATGATGCATATCACAAAGGGGCGCCGGCTGGAAAGATGAGGCCATCACAACACTCGGTGTGGTAACGCCAGTCAGCAAAGCTGCCTGGTTCACCCCTTTGTGTGAAGAGAGAATAAGTGTCGACTTTGGTCCCTTACATGAAATGTACTATTGAGCACGACGGTGCTTTCCAAATGGATGCAGCGGTACTCAGTTAATAAAATGCAGAACTGCGCAGAATGAACTGTAGAACGATTGACAAGGAGTTGTATCAGAAGCATGAGGGACTTCACCACCCTGTGGGGTAGGAGCGAACTATGAAGCGGATTAGGCGAGTATATCTAGAAAAACGGGTCCTCGGAAATCGATGCATATTGTCGGATCTGACGTGTTCCCGATTCCAGGGACGGGAAAGAAGGTGCATTCCTCACCAAGCCTTGCGGCCCGACCCGTGACAGGGATCATCTGCAAGGCATGTGGATATCCTATGCAACCGCTCCTTACCGTTCGATTGTGCTATCCAGGGCAGTTTCCATGCTAGTCTATTCGAAACCGAATAATGCATGCATTGGGGTTTCTTGACTGGTAGGGAAGCGGGCATATGATGCGCAGCTCCTTGCATGTGATCGATTGCGGGGAAACATTCCTCCTACTCTCTCCACACCATCATTTCAAGTATTTCGATCCTCGCCTTCGAGTATGGCGGTCAAGATAGGAGCATCTTTCCGATCCAGGGGATGCTTTATCGGGCTATCATGAGGCTGGAAGAAGACTATATATCTACAGGCTCGTGTTCTCAGCACGGTCCTGGAAGACAAAGACTTTCCCTCATTCTCTCATGTTGAACGCTGCTACGCATGAGATTCGGAAGCTATGTTCTCCTTTTCAGCCGAGGCGCGCAGGCGAGCGGCTCTTGCGCTTGTCGCATCGATCTCCATCGTTACTTTCCTCCAAACATCCCTCATCAAATCCCATTTCAGAAGGCCGGCTAGTGCACCGAGCCCCGTAGTTGACACCGAATCCATTTCTCTTTACGAAATGAATGTTCGTGCAGCAGGTGGAAATGCGGCCTTACTGAGTCGTCAGGTCGGCTCTAACAACCCATGTACGGACGATATAATTTGTCCAGACGGGGCTTGTTGGTGAGCCGAAGCGAATTTTCCTATTCTTCAATATCACTAACAGCGGTAGTGGCCCCGCCGACAACACAACCCAATTGCGAGAGTGTGGCTTTGGTAAGTACGACTGTGTTCCTTTGGCACCTCTAACAACGTTGCACGCTCGTGGTCTTTGCGTGGGACTTGTGGCTGCTTCGGTATGTCAAGTTATTTGACCTGTCTGAGTGACTTTAGGTCCGAAGTATTGCACTGCCGACTGCGTAAGAGACCACCCTCGGCCCATGCCCACACGCTATGCTGACTGTCCAGGGACGTAACGCCGAGGATTCGAAAAAGCTATGCGCACTTGGAGTCTGCTGCTCTCGGTTTGGCTTTTGCAGCAGGGATCCGGATCATTGCGACGTGGACAAGGGATGCCAATCAAACTGCTCTTTGAGTGCTCCACCACCCCAAGAAAAAAGCGTCGCGTCGGCACGGTCGAGGGTCATTGGGTACTACTCAGCCGCGTCTTCAAGCAGAAAGTGCCGTCCGTTTCCTCCCCGGGCGATCCCCGTCAATGGGCTGACGCATGTGAACTTTGCGTTCGCATCTGTTAACCACAGCTCGCTTGAGATTTCACAGCCAGCCGCGGGAACTCCAGATGACCCGTTCCTCCAGGTGGCCGACATCAGATCGCAACAATCCGAAGGATCCAACTTGCGAGTGTTTGCGGCCATCGCTGGCTCCATCATTTTGGACAATGGGACAATTGGGAACATCTTCCAGTTGATCGCCGAGGACAAGAAAAAGAGCGAAACCTTTTCCCATAACCTGTTGAAATTTCTGAACCAGTACGGCTTCGATGGCGTTGACCTTGACTGGGAGTACCCGGGTATTCCTGACCCCTTCACGGCTTGGGACAGCCCCGATACCGAAGGCTTTGTGAACCTGCTAAGGATTGTCCACGACACCTTTGCCACGGAGCCCAAACGTCAGCTGGGCATCTCATTCACGATTCCAACAAGCTACTGGTATCTCAAGAACTTTGACATCCGGCACATGATGGAATATGCAGATTGGGTCAATGTCATGGGTAACTTCCTTCCCCCGCCCTTTCCACTTTTCCAACCTGCATGCTGATATGGGTTCAGCCTTCGATCTACACGGAGTCTGGGACAGCCACAATCCACTCGGGAACATCGTTCGCCCGCACACGAACCTGACGGAAATCAAGCTCTCCCTGGAACTGCTCTGGCTCAATGGCGTGCCGGCAGAGAAGGTAAACCTCGGCTTGGGCCTCTATGGCCGATCCTTTCTCCTGCACGATCCGGCTTGCGGTAGGCCAGGCTGCAGGTTCGACGGAGGCGCCAACCCCGGGCCCTGCACCACCTCTTCCGGAACACTCGCGTACTTCGAGATCATGGACTTGATCAACCAACAGCACCCGCAGATAATTCACGACGAGGCCGCAGCCATCAAGTGGGCTCAGTACGGCCAGAACGACGAAGAGTGGGTGAGCTTCGACGACAGCGACACGCTCAACGCAAAGGTCGAGTGGGCCAACAGCACCGGCCTCGGCGGCGTGATGATCTGGAGCATCGACCAAGATGACGACAGCTTCTCCGCGCTGACAGCCGTCGTCGGAGGTGACATGGATTCCTTCCAGGAGCGTCTCGTGAAGCCTTCGTCTGACGAGGCTCTCCAACGCGCACGCCTCACCGCCCAAGGCTGCAAAGTGTCCGACTGCGCCGGCGAGGGCGAGAGCAGCCCGCCCGTGGGCTATGCGCTGGCGCCGAATGGAGGCGGGTTCCCGGATCGCTGTACCAACGGGGAGAAGAAATACATCTTCTGCCCCGTGGACGCAATCACTAGGGTACCCCCGGCTCATATATGTACATGGAAACCCCATGATCTATGGGTCCACCATACTTAGTTTATGGATTACACATATATTTCGTATGAAACGCGAAACGCCGTATGGTATTTCTAGGTCGGTATAGTATTATTATTATTATAACGGCAACAGCATTTCGTTATATAATTTATCTATACTAGAGGGGTAACGCTAAGGTTTTATATAGACGTACTATTATATTACGAAATTACGGTCGTAGATCGCTTCGCGGGGTACTAAAGAATCTTTATACGCTTAGAGAAACGCTAGATAGCTTATTTAGATAGTCCTAATATAGTATATATATAGTAGATTTAGTCGGGAGTTATAGAAACCACTATAGTATTAAGCGAATAAAAGAATAGATAATAAAGATTTATTATATTATTATAAGATATAAGGCACGAATAGAGAGCTTAAGATAGATATAAGAAGAAGGCTTATAATTAATAAACGAATTCTTAAGAAATTCGGCCTTCGCCCGTAGGCCGAAGGGCTTTTATATATAGCTAAGCGAGAGTTACGTAACTAGTACGTAACTTTTATAAATCTCGTATATAAAGCGTATACGAGATACGGCTATAGATTCTTATACTACCCCCTCTACTATAGGGGTCGACTACGACCCCGTAAAGAATAAAAAAACTCGAGAACCTTATATACCTTCTATAAGAAAAATCTTTTTTATTAGAAAAAAAAAAGCTCGTAGCTAAGATCGTTAAGAAAATTTCTAGGCGCGGAAGCTATAGCCTATATTTTTTAAAATATTCGCTTTTATCTATATTACGAGTAGGTACGCGGAGTATACTTAACGCGTACGACTATTATACGCGGGTTAGATATATAGCGCTATATACTAGAGTAGTAGAAAAGTTTAGCTACTCTAGGCCGTTACGCGACTTAGAGTATTCGAAAGTAGAACTTCTATTAGAAGTTTAGTTCTACGTAAGAGAAGTAGTAATTACTTTCTATATAATAGCGATTATTTTATCTTTTATCTTTTTAAGTTTATAATCGCGAGTCTCGTATATAGCTTAAGCGTTTTAGAACTATTATTTATACGTTTTAGATACGTATAGTATACGCGGCGCGTACTTCCCCCTCGATATTTCTTCGTAGTAATTATATTAGGCGTATCTATCTTTATAGAGTTTACTACTACTACTTATAATTCTTAGTTTATAGCTAGGTTTAGTAGCTAGTATCGTTATATCTATATTTATTAGCTAGATAATAGGTTCTTACCCCTTTACGAGTAGTACTTAGGCGTTAGATAGATATAGTTTCTTCTATTAAATAGATATATTTTTATAGAGTTCGGGCCTATACGTTTTACGTACGCGTACCGTAGGAGGAGCTAGTAAAAAGCCTTCGTATATTAGAGTTTTCTTACGCGATCGTTTTCTAACTCTACGCTATACTTATTTTCTAATATAGCTTTATCTTTAACTTTTCTCCGCGGCTCTACCGCTTATTCTTTAACGTCTTCTATTACTCTAAAAGCTAGTCCTATAGGTAGTATAGATAAGAAAGAGAAGAAGCTATCTCGTATAAGCTAGCTCGGTCTTAAATTAGCTTAAGATAAAGATAAAGATAAGACTCGGGCTCGCTATAAGTTATTTAGTATACGAGACGTCTCTCGACGTCGTCTTATTAATATCCGCGGCCTAGCTTCTTATTAGAAGTTAATTTCGCCTTATTATAAGGCCTTTTATAAACGTTATCTTTTATACTAGGCTTCCGCTTCTTAGATCGATAATAATATAAAGAATATTATTAAGTAGAACTATATACGTAAGATACCGCTCTCGAAGTACTAGAGATATACTAAAGCGCGATATAATTATACTTAGATAAGTTTTATTCTATAATTTATATACGCGTTATATCTTTAGCTAACTCTTTTCGCCTATTTAGTCGTCTTCTAAGTTTCGCCGCGCTATAAACGTATTATCGTTTATACGCTAGTAGGCTATTTATTATAATACTTCTAAGAAGTAGAATCTAGTTTATAGCTACGCCTCTAAGTATCTTAACTACGTTAAGAACTTCCGCCGGCTTAAGAAGACTCGCGTTAAAAACGCTAGCGGTTTTAAGAAGTATTTATACGCTCGGTAGATCTCTCGCGACTATAATCTTTAACGTAAGTAAATAAGGGCTTTCTTAACCGTCTACTTTTACTTTTACTAATTCTTAGTATAGCTTAGTATAGGCGATATTAGTCTAATACTTCTTATAAACTAACGTATCGACGTAGCTACTAAGAACCGCCTTTTACGTAGCTAGAATAACCTCTTTAAGAAGAATAGCCTCGATTTAAACCGCGATAAGTCTCTTAATAAGAGTAATAGCTAGAAGAGTATACGATAGTACTAGTATAAACCCTTAGTAAAGTAAGAGATAGAGAATAGATAAAATTTAATTTTAATATTTAGCGAGGTTTTTGTAAGGTATAAGGCACGAATAGAAAGCTTAGAATAGATATAAGAAGAGGGCTTATAATTAATAGACGAATTTTTAAGGGATTCGGCCTTCGCCCGTAGATCGAAGGGCTTTTATATATAGCTAAGCGAGAGTTACGTAACTAGTACGTAACTTCTATAGGTCTCGTATACGAAGCGTATACGAGACGCGGCTATAGATCCTTATACTATCCCTTCTACTATAGGGGTCGACCACGACCCCGTAAAGAATAAAAAACTCGAGGACCTTATATACCTTCTACGAGGAAAACCTTTCTTATTAGAAAGAGAAAAGCTCGTAGCTAGGGTCGTTAAGAAAATCTCTAGGCGCGGAAGCCGTAGCCTATATCCCTTAGAATATCCGCTTTTATCTATATTATAAGTAGGTACGCGGAGTATGCTTAACGCGTATAACTATTATACGCGGGTCGGGTATATAGCGCTATACGCTAGGGTAGTAGAAAAGTTTAGCTACTCTAGGCCGTTACGCGGCTTAGAGTATTTAGAAGTAGAACTCTATTAGGGGTTTAATTCTACGTAAAGAAAGTAGTAATTACTTTCTACGTAATAGCGGTTATTCCGTCTTTTATCTTTTTAGGTTTATAATCGCGAGTCTCGTATATAGCTTAAGCGTTTTAGAACTATTATTTATACGTTCTAGATACGTATAGTATACGCGGCGCGTACTTCCTCCCTAATATTTCTTCGTAGTAATTATATTAGGCGTATCTATCTTTATAGAGTTTACTACTACTACTCGTAATTCTTAGTTTATAGCTAGGTTTAGTAGCTAGTATCGTTATATCTATATCTATTAGCTAGATAGTGGGTTCTTACCCCTTTATAAGTAGTACTTAGGCGTTAGGTAGATATAGTTTCTCCTATTAGGTAGGTACGTTTCTATAGAGTCCGGGTCTATGCGTTTTACGTACGCGTGCCGTAGGAGAAGCTAGTAAGAAGCCTTTATATATTAGAATTCTCTTACGCGATCGTTTTCCGACTCTACGCTATATCTATTTTCTAATATAGCTTTATTTTTAACTTCCCTCCGCGGCTCTACCGCTCGTTCTTCGACGTCTCCTATTACTCTAGAAGCTAGTCCTATAGGTAGTATAGATAAGAAAGAGGAGGAGCTATCTCGTATAAGCTAGCTCGGTCTTAAATTAGCTTAAGATAAAGATAAAGATAAGACTCGGGCTCGCTATAAGCCGTTTAGTATACGGGACGTCTCTCGACGTCGTCTCGTTAGTATACGCGGCCTAGCTTCTTATTAGAAGCCGATTCCGCCTTATTATAAGACTTTCTATAAACGTTATCTTTTATACTAGGCTTCCGCTTCTTAGATCGATAATAACGTAAAGAATATTATTAAGTAGAGCTATATACGTAAGATACCACTCTCGAAGTACTAGAGATATACTAGGGCGCGGTACGATTATACTTAGGTAAGTTTTACTCTACGATTCGTATACGCGTCGTATCTTTAGCTAACTCTTTTCGCCTATCTAGCCGCCTTCCGAGTTTCGCCGCGCTATAAATATGTTATCGTTTATACGCTAGTAGGCTATTCGTTATAATACTTCTAAGAAGTAGAATCTAGTTCGTAGCTACGCCTCTAAGTATCTTAACTACGTTAAGAACTTCCGCCGACTCGAGAAGGCTCGCGTTAAGAACGCTAGCGATTTTAAGAAGTATCTATACGCTCGATAGATCTCTCGCGACTATAATCTCTAACGTAAGTAGATAAGAGCTTTCTTAACCGTCCGCTTTTACTTTTACTAACCCTTAGTATAGCTTAGTATAGGCGGTATCGGTCTAATACTCTCTACGAACTAACGTATCGACGTAGCTACTAAGAACCGCCTTCTACGTAGCTAGGATAACCTCTTTAAGGAGAATAGCCTCGACTCGAACCGCGATAAGTCCCTCGACGAGAGTAATAGCTAGAAAAGTATACGGTAGTACTAGTATAGGCCCTTAGTAAAGTAAGGGGTAGAGGGTAGGCAAAATTTAGTTTTAATATTTAGCGAGGTTTTAGAGTTCTTTATAAGTTAGGCTAGGCTTAGAGTTTTATACGAATTTAGTACGCTTCTCGTACGCGGCGCTTACGCCTAGTAATAAAAATCTATTCTTCTTATATTATAGTTATTAACCCGAAAGTTTTCGTAAGTTAATCGGTTCTATAGAATTTTCTAACTACGAAAGAAACTACGGTTTTTATTCTAGATATCTTTCGGCGACGTGTCGATCTCGGCCGTAGTATACGATATATTTAGTAGCTTTCGCCCTTTAACTCTAAATTCCGAAGACTAAGCTTTTACCGCTTCGTCTTATTTCTTAAGCCGGGAGGCCTTCCCCGCCCGCGTTTTATAGGTTTTTCGCCTACTTACGGTAGATTTCCGCGTACTCTTCGTACGCTCTTCGTATCTTTAGAGTTATTCCCCGGTAGGTTTTTTTAAGGTTTTTCGCCTCGTTACGAAGGTTCTCCGCGTACTCTTCGTACGCGTTTCGTATCTAGTAGGTTTATTCCCCTAGAGTACCGTCGACGGTATTCGTCGAGTAGTTTCTAGTAGTTCT